ATTATTATTATTATTATTATTATTATTATTATTATTATTATTATTATTATTATTATTATTATTATTATTATTATTAATGTTGTTTTTAATTTGTCTATTCAGCAGGAAACCATTCTGGTCTACATGTATTCCTGATTCCTTCAGGAATCTTTTCAATCTTTCAGCTATTATTGATGTATAGATTTTATAGTCCACATTTAGAAGTGAGATAGGTCTATACTTTTTAATCTGTGATAAGTCTGCATCGTCTTTTGGTATGAGAGTGATGGATCTTCTTTTGGTATGAGGATCTTCCATCCAGGATTTTGATATTTTAGTTCTAGCAAGACTTCATTGTAAACTTCCAGCAGTAATAGTCCCAAGGAATCTTGAGTTGTTTATAGAATACTGCTGGTAAGCTGTTTGGTCCTGGTGTTTTATTATTCTTCTGTCTCTTAATTGCCTTTTTTAATTCAAACATTATTATCCTTTCATTTAATGTAGATCTTATTTCTTCAGGGACTTTAGGTAATCTGGCATCTTCTAAGTATCATTTTATTTTATCCTCTGATAGTTCCTCTTGGTCTTACAGATTTTCATAGTAGTTCTGAATTATTATTTTGCTGCCATTTTGATGTTGTAATGTACTTTTCTTGTCTATCAAGCTTTTTATCTGTCTTTTTCTTCTTTTTCTTCTTTTAATTTATACGCCAACCATCTTTCTTCCATTGGCATTTTCGAAAAAGTTTTGTTTTATACTCTTAATTTTGCCTGCTAATTCTTCTTTTTCGAGTAGGGTCAGTTTGTGTTTTATTCTTTCCATTTGGGTTTTATGTTTCTTTTCTTATGGCTTTTCTGCAATTCCAGTTCTACTGGATTTGCAGTTCTATAATTCTGTTGTACTCTCCCTCCAAAGTTTTTTGGTGTTGCTTCTTTTCTCTATTTTTCTTTCCTATATAAGAAATAACTAGCTCTTGGATATATGTCTTTGCTGTGTCCCATATGTTTTGTAATGAGGTCTCTTCCTTTCTATTTTCTTTGAAGAAGAATGTCATTTCTTTTTCTATTGTTTGTATGAATTCCTTGTCTTTTAATATGGATTGATTCAACATCCATCTCACTTTTTTCTTATATCCTTTCCATTTAATCCTGATATATTTGGTTCTATTTCTATTTCCTGTATATTAATATTAGTTCTAGTGTTATCCACCAGTTTAAAGAAAGACTCTGGTAGGGTTTTCCTTGCCTTTTTATTTATTTTACTGCTTCTGTAATCTAGCTTTACATCTGTGATTGCATTAAAGTCTCCTATTAGACAAATGTTTTCATAATCCAGTTCTGCAATTTTCTTCTGGAGTTTCCCATAAAAATTATTTTGCTTGTTGTTTGCATATATTACTGTCAAGAGTACCTGTTTGTGGTTTATTGTTACTTCCACCATTAATATTCTCCCTTCTTCATCTGCATTTATAGATTTGGCTTTTATTGTTCCTTTGCTGTATAAGACCCCCCCATTTCTTTTGTTGGCCAGCGACAAATATAGCTTCCCAATTTTGAGGTACTCAAAGAGTTTATTATACTGTCTTTTGATGTGTACTTCTTGTGAGCAAATTATGTCTAGGTCCATTTTTTGCAGTTTCGTGAAGAGTTTTCTAAAGCAAGTACCCAAAAGAGGTAGAGACCTGCAGAAGCAATATCAATTTCTGACAGGACAGTTGATCAAACACCAAGTAAACTTTAGATGGCTGATATCAGAGGGAATTTTGGTTACCTGGAATGATAGAAGACTTAGACTGGACTCTCTAGATAGTGGATATAGCTATTACTTTAAGTTACAGGAGCAACAAAAAAAGAAGACAGGAAGGAGAAAATAGAAGATAAGAGGAATTAATGATAGATGAAACTATGACTAAACAACAAGAAGGAAGTGAAGTGAACAAAAGAGACGAGCAGAACGAGAAGGAGTAAGAACAAAGGAGCAGAGAGAAACAAGAACAACTAGAATGGCAAAACCCACTTATAAGTGACATAATAAAAGAAGAAGCAAAACCTACTATCAATTAACATAAGTTGATTAAATTCTCCCATGAAGAGGATAAGACTCTTTACGCTTTACAACAACTACACTTTTATACTGCAATCCAAACACTGATTTTCAGTTCAGCAGCTCTAAACTTACACTTTGTTGTACATCATCCACTGCACGGCTCTTCTCATCATTTCCATTGTAATTCTGGATGGCTTCAGTGTATGTCCTAAGGAAAGTGTCCTTGATCTAAAAGGAAATTGAGACAATGGGATAAACTGCATGAAGCAACAGTCCAATTAACTTTTCAGTGAGTTTTCTCCTGCCCAGCCCCAATAGTGAGGAAACATGATTTTTAGATGAAAAGTCAAAAATATATTTCTCATGTCATTCCTCTTGAAAAAACATTAAAGATTAATGGACGAGATCAATGAACATTCAATAGTTTCCTATTTTGGTGCAACCACAGAGAAATAAAAATTAAATATCACGTTTGGTACTATGAGAGCCAAAATCCTGACTGATAAAGGGAGAATCAATTATTTAAAAAGAATGAGGCTGCCATGCCTTAAAAAAAAACAGCAGGTCTACCCTCCTCTTCTTTGACCTCTTCACTGTGATGACATCAAAAAGAATATTCCTGTCCTGATTGATGATATAGAGAAGCCCTTTATGAAAATCAGAATTCTTGTGTGGCAACCCTAACCATTTTGCCCTAATAAATGTTACAGCTTCTAAGATACTTGTCCTTTGTATTAATCATTTCCAGTGCTGCAAGGGCCAAGAAGTCAGGAATGGAATGGAGTGAAGAGGAGAGGACTATGTTAGAAAATAAAATTTAGAAATATTAAAATGCTTATTTATTTGACTTCAAGGATCTCCTAAAAGACCATCTTTTGAGAACTGTTGATTTAAGTTTCTTAGAAAAACTGAGAAGTTTTCTGGATTACTGATTATTAGCCTGGAACAGTATATATTTGGCCAAGAACAGAATCTTACTTCCTGAGTATTGTTTGTGTTTCTTTGTTAACTTAGGAGAAGACTTGGCTGTTTTAAAGAACTGCAGATGTTATGCTCCCACGTTTCAAAATACCTTTTCTGGATATTAAGTCCTTCAAATCTGAAAATGTCAGTGGTTGGTTCTTTAACTGCTTCTAAAAAGCAAACATTTCAGGAACCAAACAAAAATGTTGGGTCTTTTTAGAAGCATAAACCATATTCTATATTAATTTTAACTGTTATTTTCTAATTAGAAATGATAATGTGTTTCTAAACAGAAGTCCCAGGTCCTATATCACTAAAGCGTTCCTTAATTTGACATAACATTTAAAGAAAATAGAAAGAAAACCAAAACAGGTTTTCAGGATCAACAATAGCTTTTCACATTCCCACCTTTATTATAATCAGATCATTTTGTCAAATAGTCTTCATTCAGCTTATGAAAAATATCCCACAATATATATAGAATGGTGCAAGACACATCTGCCTTGGACTAAAATTATCTACTAATTTCATCAATCTAAATAAATTTTATTCCTATTTCTAGGTATATTGTTATAATAGAATGCAGGAAAGAAATTATTATAGTGTAGGAAAGAAATACAATTTTCAAACCAACAACAGAACTATTTTAGTTACTGAATTTTTCGGAGTATAAGATGCACCAGAGTATAAGACACACCAAGGTTTTGAAGAGGCAAATAAAAAAAAAAGTTTTTGCATTCTGCCAATCTCCCAAAAACGGACTGTTTTTTGCAAAAATGCCCCCTTTTTTTCCAAAAAAGGCCATGAATAGCCCTTAGGAAGCTTGTAGAGTGCTCTGGGGGGTGGGCAAAAATGAGCAAAAAATGGCCCATGTTTTGCAAAAAAGGGCCCATTTTTTTGTGAAAAAAAAGAGGGCATGGATAGCCTTTAGGAAGCATATAGAGTGCTCCTGGGGGCTGAGGCAAAATTGAGCAAAAAATTGCCCATTGTTTGCTAATTTCTGCCCTCCCCAGCCCCCAGGAGCTCTCTGAAAACCTCCTAAAAGCTATGCACGGCCATTTTGGTGAAGAGGCGGGGTTTCGGAAGGCAAAAAATGCTGTATTCAGTGTATAAGATGCACCCAGATTTTCAGCCTCTTTTTTGAGAGAAAAAGGTGTATCTTATACTCTGAAAAATATGGTAGGTCTTGCAAATCCACTCTGAGTTACATAAATACCTGTTCAGTGGAAGTAGCAAAAGAAAATCTGTACAATTAAGAAATTTAACTAAGGCCAGTATATAATAGCAAAAGCCTGTACATCCTTTACCTATTGAAGAAACACCCAGAATATACAGAGTTGTTGAATTTATTTAAATTATAAAACCCAGTATTCTAAAAAGTTTCAGCCTTTGTTGTCATCAACTATTAACAAGGAAGTTAGACTCACCTCATGACGAAATACAAATCCTGAAATGCCAGCCACTAACTCAGCCAGGAAGACCAGAGATAGAAACATAGCATACTGAAAAAGAAGAGAGAGAGAGAGGGGGGGGGGGAAACATCCACAGGTATAGAACAGATTACTCACACTGACAGCATTTCCACCCCATAAATGTTTATTACTGGAGAAAAAAAACAGTAATTCTAAAATGCTGTTCTTATTTTCCCTTTGAAACCTTAGGTGTACACAATCAGCACCATATGAAAAAGTAGCAAACTAGGATCCCTCAGGGTATGAGGCTACCATTTTTTCTTAAATTTACTCATTCAGTTGCAAGAAATTAAAAACAGATATGAGAAACCTAGGGAGGGGGGGGAGGGAGGGATCCGTCCTCTGAGTCTTTTTTAAAGAACTGCAACAAGGATATTATATCTGGTAAAAGAAAGATATTCATGTGATGGGATGTGCTTCCTACTCAACAGGAAGACTTTTCTAGGATCCTTTATATACTATTGCTGAGAAAAGCAGCATGTCAATTAATTGCTGAGAAAAGCAGCATGTCAATGAAGAAGGTGCACGGCTGCTTCCCTGGGTGGCCTTTTTCATAAAAGAAAGGAAAAGGGCTGGTGAAAGGGTACTTTCTTTCCTGAGGAAATAAACAGCTCAGTAATGTTGACACTGGTGGCTTTATTATTTTTTTCCTGCTGGGCTAACCAACCATAAAAATACTGGAAATGGAATGGAATGGCAGCATGTTGAACTGCTTAGTCAAGAAGAGAAAAAGTAGTTCTAACATTTTTGGACTAGTCTAGAGCCAACTAAGAAGCTACTGATAACTCAATCCTCCTATATCTATCCCAGTTCCTTTCAAAGTCATGGGACTCCTTGTATGTATCTAAAAAGCACTCCAATAGTGTAGTCATATAAGTTGTTAATTTCAAATTTCACAAGAAGATTGTGAGATCATAGCTTGGATACAGTCAAGTCAAGGAATTAAAGCAATTCTTTCTCTTATTCTGTATTCATTCTGGTCATATGAGTAGATACTAAATGTGCAATGTTAATGCATACTAATAAATAAAAATGTTATACAGGAATACAAAATCTGTGACATTCCAGTATGTCTTGTTTTCTAACCTATGACCATTGGGTTGGAGACAATTTTTTCTGATTTTGATGGGATTTGGCTCAACATTCATTCCTAATGGAATTTAAAAGCAAGTCTCCTCACCTATAAAAAAGCAAGGGCAATGAACAACTGCCACTTGCCTAACATTAACAATACTGCCATCTGGGTATTTTATTACTTCGTTATTTCTGAAGTCTTTATTGTTCTATACTATATTTCTAACTGATATTTAATTCTTGTGAAGAAAGTTTCTTCTAAACACACACACATACACACACAATGGGACATACAAGAGTCTCATTAACTCTTGAGGGTCAATATTGACCACTTTGGTGAGCCTGATCTAGAAGGATACAGTATTAAAGGAATCATGATTTAAGTGGGGTTTTCAATTGCACAGAAAAACTATCTGGCTTGAACAATTGGGCAAAAAACAAATCCTGAATTAAATACTTACTTTTATTCAAAAGTATTTAAAAATTAGAGGTATATATTTTAGATGGCTAAAACCATAGTTCCATTACAAATCAGTGGTATCTGCCTTCCATGGTGGCTGTAATCTCCAAGGTCCCATAGAGGCAACTTGACCAGGGATTTCTGCAGTGTTTCCTCCAGCAACAGCTACCAGCTGACTCTGATTCTCAGCTCATTCAAGGAGGCTAGTTGGGAGTTGCTGCCAGAGAAAACTGTGCCAACATGCACTCATTGATCTCTTCTCTGTTGATTTCAGGACTGCAGCCAAACCATTTATTATCAAAGTAAGCTGCTATCACAATGACATGGATTTGGATATGCCTGTAGTATTCTTCCACTCCCCTCCTCCCACCAAGATTCATATTAATTACTTTTTTCCATAACTGTGATGGGAAACCTATATAAAAATGTATAGAGGGACTATAACTATATATATAGTACAACTATAATTGGGATCAGAATTTCTGCCATTAAGCGATGCAGTTATTAAGTGAATCACACCCAATTTTATGACATTGTTGACATGGTCATTAAGTGAATCCAGCTTCCTTTATTGACTTCCCTTATTGGAAGACAGCTGGGAAGGTGGCAAATAGCAATCATGTGACCGTGGGATACTAAAACCTTATATATGCACGATGGTTGCCAAACGCCTGAATTTTCATAATCTCATCATGAAATTAACACCCTTATTTTCAAATCAAGAAATTTGTTGGGTTATATATTAATAATAAATATGTACATTATAAAAAGACGTTGAACTGTGAATTTCATATTTATCAGTAGGTATAGTTTTTCAAAAATATTATTATTATTTCTAGCTTGGCATGGTATTTGAGGCATTCCAGAAATTGATAAAATTTTACAAATAAAGTGATCTATGGTCTCTTGTTTTTCACAGGTGTATGCCTACATGTGTACTTGAACCTTCAACTTTCTAGAATGACATTATTTAACCTCCTCACCAGTTTCAGCATCCATGGGCTTCCTCGACATGTTGCAAAGCAGCCAAACAATCCAAAAACAATGATTGTGGTACCCGTCCCGATGAGAACATATGGAGCATTAGTGGAGTTTTCAGCAATAAGTGAGATATAAGTGCCTAAAGTCAACTTCCCCCAAACACCAACAGCAAGAAGGATAACACCAGTTATCTGGAAAATATGAAGCAGGAAAAGAGAGGCTTGATTATATTTTATAAGGGTAACATATGATCTTACTGACAACATTTTTTTTTCCAAAGGTACAGAATAACTGATCAGAGAAAAAATACAAAAGTATTTATTAGGCTAATTTGGAAGAAACAATGTCATAAGTTAAAGCTCCAGAACAGTAAATCAGCAGTATACACAGATAATTTTACTGACAAAAGTATCCAGTATACTCAGGGGATTAGCATGCTAATTGTTTTCCTCAAGCTTTTTCTGTCAACTACTAAAAAAACCTGCATGCATTTGTTTTATTTTATCTTCATATTAAGTTCTGGTTTGAATCTCAATTATGAAAATGTTCTCAATTAGTCAACTTCATTCCACAGTTTTCCAGATTTCCCAGCCAGCCTGATCCCAAAAGTAAAGCACCGACTTGGGAAAGACAAATCCAGATTCAGTTTCCGTGCTGTAACCAGGCCTGAAACTGGACTGAAAGGAATCCAGAAAATCGGTTTCATCCAAGGACCGCCGGAGTTGAAAGGCCACCACTTTCTCAACAACCTTCCCTTACAAAGGGGAGGTTGGAGACTAGAACATAGTTACTTAAAATGGCTGGGTCCAGAGATGGTTTCTTCAGGAGGGGTCTCACCACCGCATCCTTTAGGAGGACTGGGAAGGATCCCTCCCGGAGAGAGGTGTTAACTATCCTCTGGATCCAGCCACGTGTCACCTCCCTGCTGGTCGAGATCAGCCAGGAGGGGCACGGGTCCAGTACACAGGTGGAGGCACTCACCGCTCCCATGGTCTTGTCCACTTCCTCAGGAGCGACAAGTTGAAACTTGCTCTATAAAATTCGCTCAAGACCTTCCCCCGGTACCTCGGCTGGTACTGTCCAAGTGGAGTCCAGCTCCGTCCGGAACCGAGCGAT